GACAAGGCTGTATATTGTCCCCCTGCTTATTTAATTTAAATGCAGAATACATCATGCGAAAGGCCGGACTAGAGGAAGCCCAAGCCGCAATTAAGATTGCCAGAAAAAATATAAACAACCTCCGATATGCAGATGATACCACTCTGATGGCAGAAAGTGAGGAGGAATTAAAGAACCTCTTAATGAGGGTGAAAGAGGAGAGTGCAAAAAATGGTCTGAAGCTCAAAAAAACAAAGATCATGGCCACTGGTCCCATCACCTCCTGGGAAATAGAACGGGAAGAAATGGAGGCAGTGACAAAATTAAAAGATTCCTGCTTCTTGGAAGGAAAGCAATGATAAACCTAGACAGCACCTTAAAAAGCCACCCTTCCCCCCCACCGCCTTAATTCACTTTCTCTTTTGCTTGACTGCCTGTTCATTTTCAGTTTTGAGTCAGTCTGTCTCTCTCTCACTCACTCACACACACACACACACACACACTCCCTCCATTTTCTACAATTACATACATTTAAATAAGTCTGATGAAGTCCTCAGTCTCTCGCACCTTTCTTTCTTCCCTCCTTCCCTTGCTTGCTCCTTTCCTTCCTCCTGTTTGTTTGCAGTTATTTCTGGAGGAAGCAGTCATTCAGAAGCCCCGGATTGGCTGATTGCCCAGGCTAATCTCCACCTGTAACCAATTACGTTTATCTCTCCGATCTCTCTAACAGAACGGAGCATTTAGGAGTGCCCTGCTGCAACGAAGGAAGTAACAGGGCAAGGTGGTTTACAATTAAAGCTTTGGCTCCAGAGGGAGGGGGTGGGTGGGCGGGAGGGGGGTAGCAGCCTGCTCATTACCCCCAGGATTTTCACTTTTACCCCATTTGGGGTAATTTACCCCTGTTCCCCGACCTATGGTTTAGGGTAATGATGGCAAATCTATGGCACGCGTGCCACAGCTGGCACGTGGAGGCCTCCCTATAGGTACGTAGCCATAAGTTGCTGGATCGCTACCCCCGCAGTCAAACCTGAGGACGTGGCTGCAGCCACGGTGCTAGCGCCCTGACAGGCAGTGGGCCAGGATCCGAAGCAGCTGGTGCTGGCAGGCTGGCCAAGCTATAGGCAGTGGCGGGGTTGGGCACAACTGGAGGCGGATCTGGAGTGGGGTCTGGAGGCACCTCTGTGCCTGGGATTCCAACTTCCTCCGCCACTTCTGCCGCCCCCCACTGTACTCTGGTTTTTGTTTTTTTTTTCAATTTGGGCACTCAGGATCAAAAAGGTTCCCATCACTGGTTTAGGGAATGAAATTGCATTGACGGTGCTTGTTGGATAATCTTTGCTAAGGAACAGACACGGGAGTTTTGAGCCAACTGATTCTCTTGCAATTCTTGACAGCCTTTGATAAGACTGTTCTAACTGAGGGACAACTCTAAAAGGTTTGGGACTTAAAATGGAAGTAACCAAACAGCAGAAAACCCTAGTGTCAGTTACAATGTTCACAAATGCTGTGGAGTTTGGGATAAGCAGTAAAGTGGTTTGGTCAAATTATACAGGACAGTGAAAACCCAACTGAGCTCAAAGAGCTCTAAAATGATTGAATGATTGGTTAATGAATAAAATTGCTAGTTTATTTAGACTTAGTGTGTTGTAGTAATAGGGACGTGGTGGCGCTGCGGGTTAAACCGCAGAAGCCTCTGTGCTGCAGGGTCAGAAGACCAGCCGTTGTAAGATCAAATCCATGCAATGGAGTGAGCTCCCGTCGCTTGTCCCAGCTCCTGTCAACCTAGCTGTTCAAAAGCATGTTAAAAATGTGAGTAGATAAAGAGGTACCACCCTGGTGGGAAGGTAATGGCGTTCTGTGTCTGGTCACGCTGGCCATGTGACCACAGAAACTGTCTACAGACGAAAGCTCGCTCTATGCCTTGGAAAAGGGGATGAGCACCGTGCCCTAGAGTCGCACACAACTGGACTAAATGTCAAGTGTTGTAGTAATTAAAACTGTGTACCGTGATATAGGACATCTGGGATTCTAGTCTCCTCTCAGCCATGAAACTAACTGTATGGCATTAAGCTAGTCATTTTCTCTCAGCCTACTCAACAAAACCTTTGTTGTGAGGATCAAGTAGGGAGAGACAAGCCATGTATACAACCTGCAGCTCATTGAAGGAAAAGTAGCATATATACATGAAAATAATAAATACATACATATACAATTCAATGTACGTAATTGTAAAGTTATAAACATAAAATCAGATATTTTCTAATGCAGTGGTTCTCAAACTGGGGTCTCCAAGTGTTCTTGGACAGCAACTCCCAGCAATCCTAGCCAGCACAGCAAGTGATGAAGGCATCTGGGAATTGCAGTCCAGGAACATCCAGGGACTCTAGTTTGAGAACCACCGCTCTAATGTGGTTTGAATTGAAAACAACAAACCAGGAAAAAGTTTTGGGGAGATACTTAAAATCAGTAAGTACACTACAGATGTGGAAAAAAACCCAGTTCCTTCCCAGGAATTCTTCAGAAAGGATTGGAAATTTTATCCTATTTTTGCATTCTTAAAAGTATACTCAACACATTCTACAAAACTGCAGTACTGTACTGTCCATTTACCAATGTATCATACATCCAGTCTCAGAATTTTTAAAAAAGAATCTTGAGCTTTAAACATGAAAGCAGAGCAATAAGGACAATATGAGGGAATGAAGCACTTTCGCTATAGAAAAAAAGAAAAAGACTGGAGCCAGGGGGTACCTTAATTTAGATTATCAAAATTCAGGGAAGCACATGGATTAATATGCGGAAGTCACTGCGTGCAAAAATCTAGAGAAGTTCAGCACAATGTTCAGAAGAAACTTTGAGCAATCTTTGCAAAAGAAAAAAAATCCTAATGACATTCAGATAGAGGCTACATCAAAAGGTTCACATTTTAACTGCAAAACAAGTCTGCCAACGGTACGGTTTCATTCTTAATATTTTCCTTTTCTACACTGCTTTCCAATGCTGTTTTCCTAGCCTCTTTTAAATTAAATCAAACAAGCTTAAGTATTCAATTCATTAAAGGAAAAATGCATATTCCCTTTAGATTTAAGAACTCATCATGGTTCAGAGATAAACCTAGGCTACAAAGTATTTCAAATGGATAGTCTTGGACAGTTTTGGAAATTGAGCAAAGCACCTAATGCATAATTGCCTTTCCTAACACCTGCTACCTATTACAACTTTCCATTTGAAGACCTTGAAGTTACAACCAGATTCATCTTTAAATGTATAAAATGGCAGGCC